GAGCAGGGAGCCCGATGCGGGGCTCCATCCCAGGACCCTGGGATCATGACCTGAGCCGAAGGCAGTCGCTTAACGACTGAGCCACCCAGGCGCCCTATCAAGCAAATTTTTGATACAACATTTATGTGACTTGAAAAGTTCAGGGTTCTTCCTTAAAGCTGAAAAATAAAGTGCTCATTTCTGAGCTCGGGTAACTGTATAATGGCTGGGACAACTGTAAAAAGGTTGAGGCCCGCCCTTACTCTGACTGTTGTGAGCGCCAGGTCTGGAGCTCTTCACACCACCCATTTACTGAATGATTGTCGACTAATGAATCCTGAGCCTTATTTTCCTTTTTGTGCTATAGTTTCTTGTCTTGTGTACTCAGTGCTGTAAAACAGACCTGCCAGAGAACCTGAAGAGTGTAAAGTTTTGTTTATGAAGTGGTGCTGGTACCAGTGCTGTTGATCAGCTGTCGTCCTCCAAGTGCTCCCTGAGATTTCATAGGAGTTTGGAGACTTTGCAGGGCCACCACCAGAGAGCCTGGGAGTTGTGTTTGCATATTTTTTTTTTTAAAGATTTATTTATTTATTTAATTTGAGGTGGGTGGGGAAGGGGCAGAGACGCAGGTGGGGTGGGGAAGGGGCAGGGGCAAAGGGAGAGGGAGAGAGAGTCTTAAGCAATCTCCGCACTGAGCACAGAGCCCGACATGGGTCTCTATCTTAGGACCCTGAGATCATGACCTGAGCCAAAACCAAGAGTCGGATGCTTAACGGACTGCGCCACCCAGGTGCCTCATGTTTGCATATTTGAGGCTGAGTATCTTTTCCTCTAAGCCCCATGTTAGGTGCTTGTGACATGTTATATTTAGGGAACTTAGTGATGCTGACTGCGATGGAGCCCTGACTCTGCCTGAGTTCTGTGCTGCATTTCATCTCATTGTGGCTCGGAAAAACGGTTACCCACTACCCGAGGGCCTGCCTCCGACTCTGCAGCCAGAGTACCTGCAAGCAGGTAAGGCCTCATCAAAGTCCTAAACCTTTGACATTTTCCATCCAGGCCTTATTATAAGCACTTTTTGTGCCTTCAGGTGGTATCCAGGCACTTTGTGGAGTCTTTTGTGTCTAAAGTCCTTTAACCGATATTAGACTCTCATATCTTATAAGTAATAGGGATGATGTGGGTAAGTGTGAGTCATCTGTTATTCCCATTCTATTGTTCTCTGGATGGATTTGAACCAGTCACTTACCCTTTCATGAAAATTGTGGAGTAGGCAAGTACTGAACCTCCTAGCTGATATAAAATGAAGAGAAAGATCTTCCTGTAGAGCCAAGTGCTGACTTGGCATCTTTAGGTACATCCTAGTGTCCCCAAGTGGCCTGGGGCAATGGAATGGAATGGAACTCTTATACCTGATGAAGTTAAAAAATTACATGCCAGGAAATGTACAAAGCGCTGTGATCTTAATGTTCCCTTGAAAAATTTTTACATCTGTATACATCTATGTAACTGCAATCAGATAGAGATACAGAACATTTGGCACACCACAAGGTTGGACTACAACTCTTTGTCTTTCTCCTTAATAAAGCTATTACCCCCATACCCTTTCAATAAGAAAGAGTCATGGTGAGTCTAACATTTGTATCAATTCTTTTGGAAGATTAAGTGTCTCTTGCCCTTTTCTAAGGCAGTGGGCACTGATAACGATTTCTGTTACTCAGAGAAGTATAGCTTCCATTGAAAGGGTCCAGAAACAGTTGGTGCTGTCAATAAGCTTTCTCAGTTTTTAGGGAAGGCCTCTTGAAAACATGAGAACTCTAGTTATGGATGATTGTTGGCAAGAAGGAGCAATGTCTAAAGAAACTGAATAGTCTTTAACAGAGTACACATTTCGTGTTTAGATTTGAAAAAGGCCCTAGTTTCTCATGTCTTGTCCCCTCATAACAACACTAGATTTAAAGTGGCCTGTGAATTATCTAAGTCAGTCTTGGGGTCTCTGACTCTTAAATAAAAAGTCTGTCATTTTCTGTATTTGGTAGTGAGTGGGCCAAAGCTCAACCAAAGGGAAGAGACCAAGTGTGTGACCACTGCCAGTGGCAGGTAAACATGTTGGGGGAAGAGTGACCCGTTCTGGGATCTTCCCTAAATGCCTCCATAAAATGTATGAAGGGGAGAGTTCAGGCAGTAGACGCTACTACTAATTTCAGAGCTTAGACTTTGCAAATAGCAGCTGCTTTCTGACTGCAGCAGGATGTAACTCCAGCCTGCTACCCTTCCTTCTAGGCTGGGGGCGACCCTCATGGGTCCCCAGGAACCAGTTTGCAATTGGGCAGCATGGCATACAGCTCTGTTTCTACTTTGGTGTCTATCTCACCATCTTTTTCTCTCTGTTCCTCCTGGATTGAGGCAAAGAAGAGCTAACATCCTTGGGGCTATCTTGGCAAGGGTATAGCTTTCATAACCAAGTCAGTATCAGGTCATCCAGGAGCCCCTTCTCCTGGGAGCAGGGCCACATGGAGCTTTGTCTCTTTCATGGGGATGAACAGCTGACCAGAGGGCAAAGGTCTGCTCCAGGACTATTTAGTTATATTTAATACTGTCACTGTTTCCTATTGTGAGGCCTGGGCAGAGTCTTGGGTAACCTTATTTCCCCAACCCACACTTAGCTTTCTGTCTTTGGGTTTTGATGAATGCTGTTGTACTGTTCTGATGTCCTGTGGCCATGGAACCTCTGCCAGGTGTCATGACTCCTTGTTTGAGGGGTCACTTTGTAGGTATCCAAGTATTTCATGGATTGTTTCAAAAGCTACTGATAAAATTTAAAAAAAATCTGAAAGCCCTGTGCAAAAAGTGTGTTAACAGAAGACAAGTAGCCTCCTTTGATTCCTTCACTGCTGCAAGTGGCTGCTTTTGCCTTGCTTATGCAGTAGCGGGGAGTCTGTAAAACAGAGTGCCAGTCAAGAGGCATCTTCCTTTCATTTGGAATGAAGCCCCTTGTTTGTTCCTGATCCTTTGTGGAGGCTGTCAGCATGCATTTAGACAGAAACAACTGAAAAATTCATCACATACCCTTCAATTAAACAAAACTGCACATCGTTTCCAGAGCTTGTGGGATTCATCTTAAATAATAATTACACAGTTCTAACAAAAACCATGAGAGACCTCATAAAATTCCATCAAACTCAGTGATGGTATATTTTAGGCAAACCCTGAGGGTTTAACAGTTAACTTTTTAATGTTTATCACTCATGTTTATTTTTGTATATAGCTCAAGAAAATGGCCAGAACTGTCTAGGTTTTCTCTGTACTTTTAGACTGCATATATGAGTGATTCTGTTCATTTTGGGGGTTCATTTTTATGGTATCCCACTTGGCTTTTTTAAAAGCTTACCTCTTGTTGCATTTTTTTTTCTGATCTACATTCAGTCTTAAAAAAAATCTAACCAGTTTTCAGTAAGATTGGTGAAGAGTATAAATTTGGTTGATACCATCTTGCATTTACAATTATACAAGCTTGTTTTCAATAAAATAATGAAACAAATTGTTGTATCTGATTTTTTCGCTAATAGTGGAAATTAAAGGACACAGTTGGAAGGAAAAGTTGGATTACTTGGTAGCTTACCCATGGGCCTTTGATATTTTCCTGTCTAGGTGACTGGGTGGATTGTGGTATAGATTTTTACTGTAGAGTTTGTTAAAAATAATTGTGTGAGCACTGTGTTACTCTCACTGGTCAGAATGCTGTATAGGACAGCATTTTTACCGTCATGGAACTTGCTGGCAGTTAGAGGATCGATATTCAGTAAACTCGTGTACTTGTAATTAGAGGCAGTGATAGGTGCTGTGGAGAATCACAGCTGCAGCAAGAGGGTGTATGACCTTGGGGAAGACTTCCTTAAATATTTGAGCTAAGATGTGAAGGATGAGCTAAGGGCTATGTAGGTGAAGAAGGGGGCAAGAGTAGGCTCTGGGCAGAGGGGGCAGCGGGTATGCTGCAGAGGCCCTCAGAGGGGACTTGGAGCACGGGAGGCATGGAAAGTTCAGGCCACAGCATCTGGAGTGCTAGGAGCTAGAGCTGGAGGGGCTGGGGATGAGGCTGAAGAGGAAGGTACGGAACAAACCATGGGCAATGACGTTGATGGGTTTTAAGCAGGGAAGTGCCACAGAGTTGCTGTCGGAGAGGATTGTGCTGGTTGCTGATTGGAGAGCAGGTTTTGAGGAGCAAGGGTGCAAACTCAAAGACCAGGTTATGGCAGCAGTCCAGTTAGATCCGCAGGGGGCTGGCACTAGGGAGGTAACAGTGGAGTTGGAGAGATGGGGACGGGCTAGAGAGAAATTTAGCAGTTAACAATGGCATTTGTAGGTTTGGAAAGTGTTAGGTTTCTGTGTAGCAAGACCCTCTCATGATAAAGCTTAAGTCATGTAATAATTCTAGTCAAATCACTGATTGGTAAACTAGAAGCAGAAATCTTAAACCTGCTTGTGTGGCCGGATTGTGGAATGGTACTTGGAAAGGTGTTTTGCTGAGTTTTTACCAAGGAAATGAGACTACGTGGTATAGTCAGAAAAATTGCCAGGGCCCGAGATTTGCCCTACTTGATATTGTTGCAGGATCGCAGGGTTCTTGTCTCATAGAGTCGAAGAATGACCTCTCAGACACAAAGGGGTGAAGTGAAAGTTTATTAAGTAAGGTGAGAGCAGAAAGGAAATAAAAAGCTCTCAGAATGAGAGGGGTCCTGAATGGGTTGCCACTGAGGGGTTTTAGGCTGGTCTTTTATTGAAAACTTGACCTAGGGAACTTGTGGCCTTGAGATTCTTGGGCCATCTTGGTCTGAGCAGGGACTATTGGTAACACCCTTAAGGACTGACTTCTTTGAGGTTTGGTCAATTTCTGTGATTACACTGTAGCCGCCAAAGAAAAATATTCCCTCACATCAGGGGCCAGATGGTCTGGTCTACTCCCTTATCTCTTGTTCACTCTTTCAGAGCCTAGTCAAGGGCCTCCTATCTCTCCCTGCCCATACCTTAACCCTATCCTTACTCAGTATCAGTGAAATTCAGACCATAGTAAGCAAACGAACAATTTAAGGTGCTTATACTGAACTGCATGTGGTAGCTGTTAGTGGCCAGTACTTTCCTGCAGAGGGAAGGTGGCATTTCAAACTCTGGTGGGGGTGGGAGGGTGAGAAAGGATTAAAAATAATGCCAATCCATTTTTAACATTTGATTCAAAAAATTGTTTAAACGTGGCATTAAAATTTTGATTTTTTAATATCTGGTCTTGACAAATTTGTAGCTTCTGGTTATTGTCTACCATGATCTGCTTTTTCCTCCTTGAGATATTGACCAATTTCCTGGTTGTTGAGACATTTCTTTCTTAATTACTTTGAGACAAAGTGGTGAAACAGAATCTGCTTCTCAGAAATGGTGTGTTGAGTATTAGTTTACCAAGTAGCATAATCCACTCGGCTACCCAGCTAACATAGCAGCTTCTGTCACTGTTCTGTTAGAAGAAACCCAAAATGTGATTCTTCTTTCCTTGTTGTAAATCAGCAAGAACTTGTGCTCTTATTTTTGTTATTTCTGCTAACCAAAAGAAAAGAGTATTTTATAAAGTTTTCTTGGTCCCCTATCATTAAAAGATCATGTCTGTTTCAAACAATAATAGCTAAAATGAAGTATTTCCTTACTTAATGTTTATAGCATTAAAACTATCACCAGTTACTGCCATTTAGAAATTAATGCTAGTAGCATAGTTAAAATGTAAAGTATTGTGATAGTGAAGGTTACTACTATGTTACAACGTAAATGCTGACAGTTAAAGTCCCTGGTCTTGCATTTACCAGCTATATGACCTTGAGTAAGTTGCTTAACTTCCCTGCTCCTTAGTTTCATCACATGTAAAATGGGGATGATAGAAATGGTAGGTTGTGTATGTGAAGAACTTAAAATAATACCTCGGCGTGATTACTGCCATAAGTAGTGTATTGGTGCTAGCAGATTTTGTTGTTATATTTCCTAAGCACAGAAGAGCTGATAGGAAACAATGCCTGCTGTGAATATAGTATATATTCTTATGTATTTTTGTTTCTTCTTAGCCTTTCCTAAGCCCAAGCGGGAGTGCACACTATTTGATTCTTATTCTGAGTCAATGCCTGCGAACCAACAACCCCGTGACTTGAATCGGATGGAGGTAAAAGATCTTCATATGTTAATAAATAAGGATGTGTGTGGAATTAAAATCCATTAGCCTGTGTTCTTTACAAACTCTAGAAAATCCACTTTCATAACATTTTCTCTTCATGCCGAGTCCTTATGTTGGGGCTCAGCCTTTCAAATCTAGACACCAGATATATCTATAATTACTTTTTTTCTTTTCTTCCTAGAACTAGATTTAGTGAAATAAGCAAAGTAGTCTCTTGACCTTCTAGGGGTGAAATGTAGGTGTAGACAAAGTAAGCCAGAAAAATGCTAGGCAAGTCGTTTATTTTAACCAAGCTTTAATTTTGAAGTAAATGTAGGAAAGTATTTTTAGTAGCTGAGTTATGAACAAGGTCTAATGGACCCAGAATAGTTGTAAGAGGAAGTTTGAGAACTGTGTAAGAGGATCTCAAAATACAATCAAAGCTGCCTTCTCCCTCAGGGCTTTTTAGTGTTGGGACCAAATGAAGACTGATTTGGATTATCCCCAAGAGATATCTGTAGAATTCCTACAATGTTGGGCTACTGATGTAAGGTCCTAGCCACATGCTTAGTGGTCCTTAGGTATGCATCAATAAATAGGAGTCATTATGGTTATTGTTAAGGTCAGCACACTCTTCATCATCATTATCATTGTTATGATTGCTGTGATGACACCTTATGATATCTGCTGTTCCCATCCTAAAAAAAAGTCTGGAAATGTGTAATAAATGGCGTTTTATTCATAGGCTGCTATTATAGTCCCCTGACCCTGGTTAAAATTGTTGCAAGATGATGGAAGTCAGACGCAGGATACAGGGCCATTTCTTTCATTTCTTGCCACTCTGTGTGATTATTTATTTTTTTCCACGGGGTTCTCATGCATATAGTCTGTGTTGCAATGACGTCCTCTGTTCCTCTGTGATGGAATCAGCCTGATTCTGCAGTGTTCCCTCTGATAACACCTCTCTTGGCCTCTCTCCTACTCTTTCTTTGAGTCAGAGCCTCTGTTACTTTCCTTAACAGATCTCTACTCATGGGAAATAGGTATAAAGTGACATCAGGAAGAGTGATAGATGTGCATTTGAAGAGTTTTAGGTTTTTAAAATTCTTTTTTTTAAGAATGTGTACAACTGAGAAACAGATAACAGTAATTAGCCACTTTTCCCGACCCTCTGTATACTCTGGGGCTGCTGGCAATGTCTGGAGACTTATGCAGTTGCCCTGTTTTTGTTTGTTTGTTTGCTGTGGGTCCCCTTGCTTGTGTAAAATTATGAGGTTGATTTATTGAAAAATGTCATAAATTCTTATTCTTTCTCGATAAATGTTATGTTTCAACTTGCCATGGTATCAGGTGGCCTTTGCCCTTCCAACAGAAACAAATAATGCTGTGTTTTAGAGAAATTAATTACTGGCTTGTGTTGCTTTCTCCTATGTAGTCATTTATCATCTGTCTAAAAGGAAAGGAGCCAATATACAGTTGGCTGTGAAGTCTGTAAATGGAGATACTTTTAAACACACGCACACTCTGATGTCCTTGATGACATTATGGATATTCACCTTTATGGATGTGATGTGCAGCTAGTTTTATGTTAGATACTTCTGTATACTTTAAACTGGCTCTTTTGATGGAGGTTGGTGGTAGTTAAAAGTCTTTGCTTGCCCTGTCCAAACAAGAAAGCAAAACAACAACAACGACAACAACAACAACAACAACAACAACAACCACAACAACAACTCTTTCTGCACAAAATTGTTATATTCTAGGGTGGGGTGCTTTTACATAATCATGTAATAATATACAGAATTCAAGGACTAAGTAGTGAGGTTAATTGAGGCTTTGGCCATTCAAGAAGTGTAGGTCAAATTTTAGTAGCTAATGATTAAATATTTCATTTTCTTCTATTTTATTCATTGTTCTTTCTACCAATCTTTTAATCTCTCATGAATGCATACATGGGATTTAAATAGATCTTGGTACTAGTCCTGTGAGGGATGACTCCATATAGGTGTTTGTGTTGTGAATGAAGCTGTAGCTGATTCAGGTCATGAGAACTTTGCTCAGCAGTACAGATCAGATCTCTAGACAGCAAAGCTGTAACCATGTACTTGTTTCCTTCAAGAATTAAAGATTATAATTTCAGGTAAAGTCCTCTTTAGCAGTGCTTCTTAGATTACTAGATTTCTTTCTTTTGTAAACAGCTTTACTAAAATATAATTCACATACTATACTCAACTGAAGTATACAATCCAATGGTTTTTAGTGTATTAACAGAGTTGTGCAACCATCAGTATAGTCTTATTTTAGAACATTTTTCATCACTCCAGAAAAGAAAGCCTGTACTCATTAGCACTCATTGACTGTCCTCCCTTCCCCTCAGCCTCTGGTGATCAGTAATCTATTTTCTGTCTCCGAATTTGCCTATTGTGGATATTTCGTATAGAATCATAGAATATTATGGGGTTTTTTTTGGTGACGCTTTCTTTCGTTTAATATAATGTTTCATTTTTTAAAAAATTTATTTGAGAGAGAGCGTGAGTGAGCACAAGCAGGGTAAAGGGCAGAGGGAGAAGCAGACTCCTTGCTGAACAGGGAGCCTGATGTGGGCCTCGATCCTGGAACTCCAGGATCATGACCTGAGCTGAAGGCAGATGCTTAATGGACTGAGCCAGCCGGGTGCCCCTAGTATAATGTTTCAAAGTTCATTCATGTTCTAGCATGTATCAGTGCTCATTCCTTTTTATTGCTGAGTAGTATTCCACTGTGTGGATCTGCCACATTTTGTTTGTCTGTTCTTCAGTTGATGGACATTTGGCTTGTTCCCACTTTGGAGTTGTGAGAGAAAAAATGCTGTTGTGAACATTCATGTAGCAATTTTTTTGTGAGCACAGTGTTTTCAATTCTCTTGGGTGTTTACCTGGAGTGGAGCTGTGTGTCATATTGTAACTTGTGCTTAACTTTTTGAGGTACTACCAAACTGCTTTTCTAAGCACCTGCAGCATTTTACATTCCTCTACCAGTAATGTATGAGGGGTCCAATTGTTCCATATCCTTGTTAACACTTGTTTTTGGGGCGCCCAGGTGGCTCAGTCAGTTAAGCAGCTGACTCCTGGTTTTGGCTCAGGTCATGATCTCAGGGTCCTGGGATTGAGCCCCGCGTGGGACTCCATGCTTAGCGCAAGTCTGCTTGTCTCTCTCCCCTCTCTCTCTTTCTCTCTAAAATAAATAAATAAAATCCTTTAAAAAATACTTGTTATTGTTTGTGGTTTTTATTTTAGCCATTCTAGTGGGAGTGAAGTGGTTGGTATCCCATTGTGGTTTTGATTTAAGTTTCCTAATGACTACTGATGTTGAGCATCTTTTCTTGTGCTTATTTGCTATTTGTATATCTTCTTTGGTGAGATGTCTATTCAAATCTTTTGTCATTTTATAAATTGGGTTATTATTGAGTTGTAAATATTCTTTATATATTCTGAATATAAGTCCCTTATTCAGTATATAATTTGCAAGTATTTTCTTTCTTTGGTTTTTCTTTTTCCTTTCTTTTTTTTTTTTTTTAAAGATTTTATTTATTTATTTGACAGAGAGAGAGAGAGAGCACGAGCAGGGGAGCAGCAGAGGGAGAGGGAGAAGCAGACTCCCTGCTGAGCAGGGAGCCCGATATGGGGCTCGATCCCAGGACCCCGGGGTCATGACCCAAGCCGAAGGCAGGTGCCCAACCGACTGAGCCACTCAGGCACCCCTCTTTTTCCTTTCTTCTTTTTTTTAATTCAATGCTTTATTTTATTTTTTTAAAGATTTTATTTATTTATCAGAGAGAGAGAGCACAAGCAGGGGGAATGGCAGGCAGAGGGAGAAGTAGGCTCCCCGCTGAGCAAGGAGCCCGATGTGGGACTTGATCCCAGGACCCTGGGACCATGACCGAGCTGAAGGCAGACACCCAACTGACTGAGCCACCCAGGCATCCCCTCTTTTTCCTTTCTTGATAGTGACCTCTGTAACACAAATGTCTTTTATTTTAACAAGGTCCAGTTTGTCTCTTTTCTTCTTTTGTTGCTTGTGCTTTTGGTGTCATATCTAAGAAACCATTGCCTAACAGAAGATCATGAATATTTACTCCTCTGTGGTCTTCTAAGAGTTGTATAGTTTTAGATCTTATATTTAGGTCTGTGATCTAGTTTGAGTAAATTATTGTGTATGCCACGAGGAAGAGATCCACCTTCATCCTTTTTTTTTTTTTTTTTGTCCTCCAAAGGCCCTTAATTGGTTTATTAATGGAAACATCCAGGAGTTGCAGTCATTCGGTCCTCTTTTTTTTTTTAATTTTTTGACAGAGGGAGAGACAGAGAGGGAACACAAGCAGGGGGAGTGGGAGAGGGAGAAGCAGGCTCCCCACTGAGCGGGGAGCCCGATGCGGGCCTCGATCCCAGGACCCTGGGATCATGACCTGAGCCGAAGGCAGACGCTTAACGACTGAGCCACCCAGGCGCCCCCATCCTTTTTTTTTATGTCAAAGATATATTTATTTATTTTAGAGAGAGAAAGAGAGCGGGGGGGAGGGGCAGGGAGGAAGAGGGAGAGAGAGTGTCTTAAGCAGACTCTGTGCTGAGTGTGGAGCCTGATGGAGGGCTTGATCTCATGACCCTGAGATCATGATATGAACCAAAGCCAAGAGTTGGATGCTTAACAGATTGTGCCACCCAGGCGCCCCCACCTTCATTCCTCTGTGTATGGATATCCAGTTATTTCAGAATCATTTATTAAAAGACAATTTTCCCCCATTGAATTGTCTTGCACCTTTGTTGAAAATCAGTTGACTGTAAATGTAAGGGCTTATTTATGGATTCTCAGTTCTATTCCATTGATCTGGATGTCTCTCATAATGCTAGTACCACCCTGTCTTGATGACTATAACTTTGTGGTGAGGTTTGAAATTGGAAAGTCTGAGTCCTTCAACTTTGTTTTTTTTGTTGTTCTTTTTTAAGAATACTTTCACTATTCTGGGTCCTTTGCATTTCTTTATGAGATTTAGGACAAGCTGTTCAAATTCTGCAAAAAAGTGAAGAAGGATTGCACTGAATCTGTAGATGAATTTGGGGGAGTATTGCCACCTTAACAATATTGAGTCTACTGACCCATGAGCATGGGATGCCTTTCTATTTATTTAGGTTTTAAAAATTTCTTTCAAAGGTGCTTTTTTGGGGATGACTTTTTATTTATATTTTCTACTCCTAAATCATTTTCTTTTACTAGGGATCTAGTTATAGTCCAGGTGGGAGAAGCAAATGAAAGAAAGGCACTGTTAAGATACATTCTCTGTTCTATTGGAGATAGTAGACTTTGAATAGGAAATTATATCTGGAGGCTTCATGGTAATGCCAAGAATCACCTGCCTGAGGATTGTTAAATCCTAGATCAGGTTACCACCAAGCAGTACTGAATTCCGTTCTTTGAAACAGTTGAAAAACAGAAGTATTGCTTATCTCACTGGGGTTGTTCAGATTCTGAGAGGCAAACCAGTTAACCTTCTGGAGCACTAGATGGCTCCAGGATTTACCTTATTTCCTTTAAGGTTTGTTTGATTTTCTGAATATGTTTAAAATTAAAAGAATATCAAAAGGCATATAGTGACAAGTCCTCCTTCCATCCTTTCCCCCATCTACCCAGTCACACTTCAATTTTTATGTATCTTTCCAGAATTTATATATATATAGTAAATATTAATATATATTCTTTTATCAGAGGTCTTAGAATGCATATTAATTGAGACTTTATAAGAAATAAATTTATAGTAAGTAGATTTTAAATAGGATTTTATTATTATTATTTTTTAAGATTTTATTTATTTGTTAACAGAGAGAGAGACAGCAAGAGAGGGAACACAAACAGGGAGAGTGGAAGAGGGAGAAGCAGGCTTCCTGCCGAGCAGGAAGCCCGATGTGGGACTCGATCCCAGGACCCTGGGATCATGACCTGAGCTGAAGGCAGACGCTTAATGACTGAGCCACCCAGGTGCCCCTTAAATAGAATTTTAAGTGACCAATATGTGATCAATTTGGGTATTCTTTCTTATTAGTATTAGTGAAGACTTCCCCTAATTGAGTTAAGAGAAAATTTTGTTCTGCTCATTTTTCTTATTCCTTGATAAGGGGCTGTTTGAATCAGGGTTGAACACTCTCTGCATAACAGATTTTGGCAAATATCTACATTATGGGGCCACTTGTCAGAACCTCTCTCTGCTTGTGAAAAAGTACATAAAGTGCAGGTTTGTTTTTGGCAGAATGGGCAAATGTTACACAATTCTCTGGCTGAATCCCACACCAGATTCAGATTTATTGTGCAGTCTCATACATATGCCTAAATCTGAATCGTCATTTTTTTTCTCTGCACGTGTAAATTTTCTTTTTTTAAAAAAATGTAAAAAATTTTTAAAGTAATCTCTACACCCAGTGTGGGACTCGAACTCAGGACCCTGAGATCAAGAGTCACGCACTCTACTGACTGAGCCAGCCAGGTGCCCCATATGTAAAATTTCAACACAAGTTAACTTATACCTCACTAGGAATCTAATAAAACAAAGTAGTATTAAATGTCAGAGTTTACTGAAGACAGGAATATTGGCAAAATGTGTTGTTTTTAAAGCATTTTCATCATATGTACATGTAACTTAATTTACACTTCAACCTGTATAATTTATTTACTTTTCTTTTCCAAGAAGCTATCTATTAAAGACATGGCTGACTTTCCTGTCCCAGCCCAAGATGTGACTAGTGATGACAAACAAGGTATGAAAAGAATGAGTTTTCTTCCTTTAGGGACATTCTACCTGTGTTTCTTCATCTACTTCTCTTGGAATGGCTGGCTTCTGGAGCATATGAGGACAGTGTTCAGTATATGAACACATTTGGATGGATTAAGTAGTTCAAATAGTTGTCAGAAAACTGTAATTTCTGAAGTGGTAACAGGAGCTTCCAAAGTCCCCTAACTCATTGGCCCCTTACTCACTGCTGACCCTCAGACTACTCTGACACTTTACATTGGGATTTGGTTGCACTAATTAGGAAGTGACTGGAAGCTGGAAGAATTGAGAGCTTAACATCTTGGGTTGGCAGATGTGATTCCAGAACATCAGTATAAATGCATATTTGTGCACAGGTCTAATCCTTGAGGAAGTTATCTTCTGGAGAGAGTTTCTGTCCCTGGGATTTATCTTGTGACTTTGTGGATGCGAGGCTGTGTCGTGGAGCCAGCAACCATTTGTCTATCTTACTGGGCAAGTGAGAAGCAGTACAGCACAGTTTTCCATGTTAGAGCTACCATGAAGCACAGAGATGAGTTGGCCTAGGAATATTTAGAAGAACAGTTGGATGTCTACCCCCCTGACCCCCCTCCCCCCGCCAACACCACTCCATATAATTCTTTATAATCTACCAGGTCCTTCCTCATTCATTGTCTTACTCGGTTCTCACAAAACTGAATGGAGGCTAGTATGTTTTATCACCTAAAACGCAGAGATGAGTAAACCGAAGTGCAGGCAGTGTGAATCATTTGTTTAATAATAAAAAGAATGGAGATAAGAACAAAGATTTTCTAAGTCTCAAGCCAGTATTCTTTTTATTATTTGATACTGATTTACTACCCATGAATGAGAGGCTTATCTGAAGGGACTAAAAATCAGGGAAGCTATTTCAGGTTTATTGTCGAGACCTGCCATTGTTGCTGCTTTGTACAGGAATTAAACATGAAAAATAAGTTTTCCATTAGGAAACAATAATTGCTTGCTCTCTATTTAAACATTTGCTCAGGAGAGGCAGGCAGAACTAGACATTTTTTGCAGCAGTGTGTACTCTGATCACGGTCTTTACTAGTGGGTCTAAGCCTTGATTGCACATTGGAATAACCAGGTGAGGTCTAAAAATACTGAAGGCTGCATCTCACTCCCAGAGAGATTCTGATGTCATTGGTCTGGCTGTCAGGAATGAAAGGGGGAAATTTCTCATACTTTCTGGTAATATTCCTCATAGCCACTAGAGGTGCTCTCTGTTGAAAGTTGGAAATACTGCTTTGTTCCTTGTGGGATGAGAACCTATTTCCATACTTTAGGGGGTCTTTATTGTTTTACTAAGTGCTGTACCAACCTATAGAGGTTTATAACACCATTTTCATAAGTGACGACTAGGGATTCTTTGTTTTATTTTTTTCTAAAAAGATTTTATTTATTTATTTGGCAGAGACACAGAGAGAGAGCGGGAACACAAGCAGGGGGAGTGGGAGAGGGAGAAGCAGGCTTCCCGCTGAGCAGGGAGCCCAATGAGGGGCTCGATCCCAGGACCCTGGGATCATGACCTGAGCCGAAGGCAGACGCTTAACGACTGAGCCACCCAGGTGCCCTGGATTCTTTGTTTTAATGTAATGTGCCTCAGACATAAAATTTTACAGTTTTTTTTTCTCCTTTCTTTCTCTTGTTTAAGAACAAAACAAAACGCGTCTAGAACAAAACAAAATACGTCTAGCTTTGAAAAGTACTGCGGATGAAGCCTTACCAAAGGATATGTCTGAGGATCCAGGTAGGAGAAAACCATTTTAATATATTTTTATGTCATTATTTCTAATTTAAAAAACCCAGTAGTTTCAGTGAGTAGAAAATAGGTGGTAGTGTAAGTTTCTCTCTAAATATTTGCCTTGTGTTTTATTTTTTGACCATATAGAAGGTACTTTATTGAGGTGATTAGGAGTGCCCCCAGCCCAGTCTCAGCCCCCTCAGTACAGTCCCATGGGTGGAAAGGACCAGGCCTCTGGGCTGCTCTGGGCCACCACCCAGGAGAGGCTGGGCAGTCGGGCAGGGGGGCTGGGGCTCCAGTCCAGGGTAGAGGTTCTGGGCAGCAAGAGTGATGGTGGCTGAGGCATGGGCTGTTGGGGCCTGACCCCCCAGGGCCGCGGAGGGGGCAGCGTGGCTACCAGCCAGATGCTTTTCAGCAGGTCAAAGGCTGTTGGGGGGCCCCAGGCTGCCCCGGATGGCGAAGGCAACAAGGGCACGGGGGGTGGCCAGGGGCCTTTTGGCGCTGCCAGGCTCACCCTGTGCACCATGGGAGTGCTGCAGGTGTGAGACATGGCAAAGGTGAGCATCTTTGTCCTCTGTTGCCTCCTCTGCCTCCCCTCCCCTGGGGCTGGCTCAGGGCTGTTGATGCAGGAGGGTGTCATCCTTCGGCTTTCAGGGCCCCCAGGCTTGGTCCCTGGTAAGGGTGGCTGGCAGCCACGGAGCACCACGGTGAGGTCTGTAAGGTGCCCACAATGGCATCCCTGGCTTCTTGCACTAGGTTCCTCCTGGGGAAGGCCTGTGGCAGTATCAGCTGGCACTGCAGCTCCTCCAGCAGCTGCCCCCAGCCAGGGAGCTCTGGGGGACTGGGTGGGCCTGGGCTGGAGCCTCTAGGCACCTGGTTCTCCTTGCCCCTTGACTGTGGGGCTGGTTCTTGGGCCCACCTTGGGCTCGGGGAGGGTTTGGTGGGGAGTGAAGGGGTGCCTCGCTCCAGGGACTCACAGCTAAGCAGCCGTGCCACGTCAAGAGATTTCTCCTCATGGTTGAAGAGACCCCAGTGCTCCCGGCTCAGCCGGCCCTGGGTTATGACCACAAGCTTGGGAGCAGTAGGGGCCACAGGGGGATCCTGACTGGTCACAGGAGGATCCTGACGGGTCAGTGGCTGGCGGCTGCCCATCAGGGCCTCATTGCGCTCCCGCCTCGTCTTCCGATGGCGGACACGACCAGTTTCCTCAGGCTGCTGGAAAGGCTGGGGGGGGGCTGGCCCTCGGGGGTCCATAGTGTCCTTCTCCTGGACCAATGAACCCCGCCCCACACCCACCCCACGTGGCTGTGGGGTGCAGTGGCTTCTTTGCCGCGGTAACCCTAGCTCACGACGGACTGGGGTCTCTTCTGGGCCTCACGCTGGGCGCCTTGTGTTTTATTTTAAGGAAGTCTTTTGGTTGCTTTTTACCGCTTCCCTCTTTTCAGGTATGAGAAGAGAGTGTTTTTTATTTTTAAGTTCTGAATTTAGGTTTCACTGATAGGATCACGCAGTTTGAAGTTAGAGTCTCATTGTTACTTTTACTGTGAAATTGGGAAGGCTTGGATTTGAGATTTCAGTAAGCCATTGTGGTTTCTGTGTAGAGTAAGGAGCTGATTGGTAGATCAACTGGAGGCCCACAGTTGAACTTTTCCATTTCCAGAGCAAAAATCTCAAATGTTTTCATTAGACTTCACCACCAGGAAGGCAAGTAAATGTGCTTATACAGGGAGTGGATTCCAAGGAGAAAAAGAAAAGTTGTGTTTGCCCATGTTCTTGAAGAGTTGGAACTGTGTCTGTGAACTGTGGAGAGGGCCAGGCTTGTGTCCTCAGCTCTCTTGATGGGAGCCATCACTGAACCAAGCTGAACCTAGTTGAAAACAAACTGGCTAGGGAGGGCATTACTCTTTGGAGCTCCAGTTGTGAGGATGTGAAAGAAGTTGCTGCATTCTCTCATTGTTATCTTTCATAATATTTAATAAGTAAATCATGTTTGTTTTGGTTAGCTAGCTATCATCCCAGGCTTATTTGTTTAAAGTTGGAACAAAGGAATCAGTATAACATTGAGTCTTATGCTATAGTACAGCATTTCCCAAACACTAAGTTCATTCAAGGTTTAAAAGAGAGAGAGGGGTGGGGGAAGATAGAAGGAGGAGGGGGGAGAGAGAGAGAGAGAGAGAACATGAATATGAATGAGAATATATGATTGATTTCGGTGATGAGGTTGAAGATTCTGTGTTTAGGCAGCACCCCAGGTGATTCTGATGTGTGGCCTATTTGGGGAACCCCTGCCTTTAGGAGATGATGTTAAGAATTGGAAAATTGAGGGCGCCTGGGTGGCTTAGCTGGTTAAGCGACTGCCTTCAGCTCAGGTCATGATCCTGGAGTCCCTGGATCGAGTCCTGCATCGGGCTCCCTGCTCGGCAGGGAGTCTGCTTCTCCCTCTGACCCTCCCCCCTCTCATGTGCTCTCTCTCATTCTCTCTCTCTCTAATAAATAAATAAAATCTTAAAAAAAAAAAAGAATTGGAAAATTGAGACTGTAGATCAACCATGCCTCCAAAAGTGGTCGGAATTCTCAAGCCTAGTTTGGGTTCCTTCATCATAGGGAGAAATGCTCAGTTTATGTAAAGACAAATGGATTGCTGGCTTGTTAGAGAATTAGACTTTAGGCTTGCCCTCTTATCCCATGTCAGGACAAATGCCTGAGGTAAGTTCTTTCCACCTCTAATTTCTGGAGCTAAAGTGGATGCACCTCTGTTTTTGTAAACTTCATGTTAACGGTGTTAATAAAAGCTAGTTGAACTTGGAGAGTTAAATTGGTGCTTTTCCAACAGCCTTTTAGGCTAATAACTTGCTGTTTTTCCCATGAGCATTGTGTGTTCTCTGAAGCATGAGCTTCATTTTTAATATTCCTTCACTGACAGGGGAATGGGGTCACCAGACAAATGCTACGAGGGTGTGCCACAGTGTGCAAAGCACATCTGCATTTGTTTCATTCTGCATGGGAACATGCTATGTAGCTTCTGATTCATTTTTCCTACTGCTGCCCCTTTCTGGAGTGGATATGAGGGAATCCTTCATCTGAAAACCTATTTAATACCCCCTTTCCTGGGGCATGTTTGGATTTCTAGTGTGAGACACTAGAGTTTCAACGTGGTGGTTTCTAACTCTGAATGTCTGTCCATGCCACACGGACATTTCACCTCAGTTGAGTGCTGCCTTTTAGAGAATTAAACTTCAGGCTTGCCTTTTTATCCTATTTCAGTTTGCTGCAAAGATGACATGCCCGGGGTGTTCTAGGAAGTTGTCATTCTTCTTCCCTCTTCCCAGCTAAATGAGAAGCTGTGATCTCCCTACTGGCTTCTGCCTGGATTCCAATACAACATGCCCTGGCCATTTTTGCAGATACTCACATGCCCCAAATGCTGAGTCTGACTTTCAGGGGCTTGGAGGCTGATGGAAGACTTAACTGGAATAGTGTTCTCTAGTTTTTTGTGATCCGAAACCTGTGGGGACTTATCAAGATCTGCCTGGGATATATTTTTGCAGATGGCAGGAGAAATATCTCCCTGCCCTGCTCTTCCACAATGGGTGGTAATAATGATGATAATAATGGTAATAGTAATGGTGATGAAGATGATGTTGTGGTGGGACTGTTGTCAGGGAATGGGGGTAATTCCTTGTCACATATTTTTTAATATGCCCTTACCCTTTTAAATGCTGAAAGTGTACATATTAGTGGAGTCTAATAGATTCCTTAGCTAACATCATATTCCAGCCTAATTCAACAGGGCACACTGTACAATGGTGATCTTTTTCTTGATGTCTGTAAGTCATGCTGAGGGGATTAGGCCTGTTGACCCTCACACTGTAGTCTTCAGACACCGTTGGTGATTCTAGCAGCTGCCCTGTTGCCAGCTATCACCCCATGGTCTTACAGGGTAGAACAGTTTTCTGCTTCCATTACCTGCTCCCACCTGTACCTCCTTTGCTGTCCTAATGGGAACTAAATTTAGAATCCAGGTTTCTAAGATTGAAAAATTAGGAGCACTCTCCAACAGTAATATTTTGCAATTCTAAAATATAGTTAGTTTTCAAAGTACTTTCACCTCTCTCCCCGTGAGAAAGGGGCCACATTTTTATTATCTTCATTCTGTAGACGAGGAAACTGAGGCTCAGAATCATAATAGTTACGGTTGTGGCCAGGAGGGACATGTAGGCCTCAGGACACCTGTCTGGGTCTCCACTGCTTATCCATTCCCCCACACCCCATCTGTCTGTATGTCTATCTCTCACCTCCAGGGTTTTCCACTCCTTCCACACCCATTCTCACCCCAGCAAAAAGACAGAGATAATGGCAGTTGACAAAGGAATTAACGGTCACCCCCGTGGTCTGATTTGGGGAACCAGACTTTTATTTTAATGTGGCTGAGACTTTCCCGACCCACATATTTCTGGAAAGCAGTGTCGCCTGAGGGAGAAGAGGGGTTCAGAGCCAGTTGTGGGCAGCCTGCCCAGAGGGTGGCCCCCAGCTTTGTGGTGAGTCTGGTCACACTGTTCACTCAGCCCCACGGCAACCTGCTTGACTGCAGGATGGGCTCCCCTTAGGCCCCTTTCCTTCACTGCCTGGGGTTTGTGGGGTCAGGGGTGGCAGGGGGAGCCACATATCCCTGCAGATGTGGATGCATGAGAATGGGCAGGACAGGGCTCAAACTCCTTGGGCCTCCCATGCTTTTCAGGGCTCTGGCAGCATTTTGATGGATTGAAGTTGAAAGATGCCTGTGTTCTCACTACACCAAACCAAAATTCTTATTTTGGGATAAATGCATCTTTTCGGCAGCTGACCATATCTAAGGGAATATGTATTGCTAGTTTGCTTTGTGCCTTGTTAGCATTTTTAGCTCCCCTTTCCTCTCCTGCTTATCTAACCCATGGATTTTAATGACCATCGTCAATTCAGGCTGCTTCATCCCAAGGAGGGTTTTTATCTTTAGGAGCAATGTAAAAAGGGGTGGGATAATTCACTGAGACATAAGAAAATGTTTGGAAGAATTTGTGCAAACAGTATACAAACTATATTCTCCTTGTTCCTAGTTAGAGTAGCACTTTTTCTATGGATTTTTATGACATTTTATGATGAAAAATTTGCAGCTTAGCATAACTAATGGTTTCTAAAGTTGTCTTTCGTAGGGTATTGAAAACATAAAAAAGGATTAATCTTTTTGTAAATGTTTCTAATTACTCCCAGCAACTGTGATGGGAAAGTAGGCTTCATGGGTGTTGATACTGAGCAAGTTAGTTCATGATTTACATTTGATAAGGAAAAGTCGTATGGTTGATAAAATATTTTAATGATTTCACTCTGTAATATCCTGTGTATGATTTGGTCACAGAGACATAGGACACAAGAATATTTTCTTACAGGAAAATCTGTGTAGCTTATTTCAACTTGTGGGAGCTTTGATTTCTTGTGGTCATGCTGCTCTGGTAGTGTATTTTTAAAAAATCTTGAAATATGTAACCTGATAGATTTCTTCTTAGCTTTCAGGGGAAGCTGGTTCAAAATCAATTACTAGGCTATCATGATAGACCAAGAAAACCACAGGTCTGAACCCACTATTATACAAGTAGATAACCCCTTGAGAGGGTTGTCTTTTTAGACTGGAATTTCTTTATTCGTCAATGTAGATTTGAGAATAGCTCCTTATTAGTACTCTAACAAAAGGAAAAAAATATTGGTTTCTCCTTTAAATTGTGCCTTTAGCTTTAGAAATAAAATTACAAAATAATGAAAATGTGGAGGCGGTCAAGTTCTCCACAGGGACACCTATACCTCACATTTACCTGTTGATAATGTTTGTTCTGTACTAGCCCAGGTATTGCTTATAAACCTGTTCAACTGCAGAAATGAAAGCCAAGTAAACAACAACTAATCTTTGTTTCAGCCACTTCTAAGGATTCCAACAGTCTCAAAGCAAGACCAAGATCCAGGTAGTGTTTGTTTAATTTCTGCTTTAATGCCCCTTCTATCCTGTCCCTGACTAGAAATAAAATCCCACAACCTGAAGCCCAACCCACAATTTCCTTTTCCTTCAGATTTGAAGCTTAGAATAGGGGTGAATTCACTTGTCATGAAGGGCCTGCTTGGAGCATGCAGTGCGGCTGGGAGACTCTCAGTTTGTGTGTTTATTAGCGCTGGAAGACGGTAGCTGCTTCTGGCAGGTCGCCTGACAAGAAGTGGTTTGTGTGGATATGGCCCAGTTGTTGCAAGATGATAAGGAATAGAGGGCAGTAGTTTTGGAGAGAAGGAAATGTGGTTCAAAGGTAACACTGAAATTTACTATCATGACAAGGTGGACACCCAAAAGTAAGACGCCTGAGGGATGAAATCTAGAGTAGGAAAAGAAAATGCTCACGGTGATTTTAATGAGGCTTGAGGCTTTAGGTAAGCAGTGCTTATGGTCTGTTTTATCCTGTCTTAGAGCTGCTTTTTGGCTTCACGGTTTGTTTGTTGTTGTTGTTGTTGTTGTTTTTAATAGATTTTGTTATTTGACAGAGAGAGAGACAGCAAGAGAGGGAACACAAGTAGGGGGAGTGGGAGAGGGAGAAGCAGGCTTCCCGCTGAGCAGGGAGCCGAATGCGGGGCTCAATCCCAGGACCCTGGGATCACTATCTGAGCCGAAGGCAGACACTTAACGACTGAGCCACCCAGGTGCCCCAAGCTTCACAGTTTTTAGATCAGTAGAAGCTAGTAGAAGAGGGAGAGCGAGTAAGACAGAGCTGCAGTTGACATCAGACATCAGAGTGGAGGATTGAGGAGAAATATGGAAACATTAATAGAACATCAGAGAGGGGAAATGGTGTTGGGACCACTCTTCAGTGGTAGACAGCAGTGTAAGGACAGTACATATGTGTTTGCTTTGGCTCTTAGTGACTTTTTTCTTCCTTTGGCTACTGAGACACATTCCTGAAAAAGTGAATTTAAATCTGATCATATTTTATATGCTTGAAATATTGATAATTGAGGAAACCTCGTCGTCTTGTAAATCTGAGAGTTATCCCTTAGTTTATCTTTTATGTCTGGAGTTTCTAAATTGGGGTTTTGTTTCCTTGTTTATAGAAGATACAGATATCTATATTCACATTTTTTGAAACAATAGATAACAGTAATCTTTTTGGCAGGAAAAAAGGTATAGTCACTGTTTCTGTCTGTGGCTACCACATTTACTCATCTTTTTTTAAGGATGAATGGATCTTTTACTGTACTGGCTTAAAGTACTGGCTTTAGGATGTAGAAATAGTAACATTTATCTGCCCTCATAGTATGAAAAACCTTTGAATTCCAGAAATCTGTTTATGTGTGCTGTGTTAACTTTAAGTTAAACCTCACAGTTTTCTTCTATTGACTTCCTCTCTTTCTCCAAGTGAATGAAAGTACAAAATTTCATGGTTACCTGTTCTATTATTAATATCTCTGGCCAACTTTTTTTTTAAGATTTTATTTGTTTATTTGACAGAGAGAGAGACAGCAAGAGAGGGAACACAAGCAGGGGGAGTGGGAGAGGGAGAAGCAGGCTTCCCGCTGAGCAGGGAGCGTGATGCGGGGCTCGATCCCAGGACCCTGGGATCATGACCAGAGCCAAAGGCAGACGCTTAACGACTGAGCCACCCTGGTGCCCCTCTGATTTCCTTTTTAAATCAAGAGTTCCCATTTGAAAACTTTGTTGTCTTTTCCTATCAATTTACTTTCACTCTGATTGAAAGTATCAGACCATTCTTCCTGCCAGTTCCTGCATGCCTTTACCTTGCCTGTCTTGCCAGTTGTTTTACAGGGACCACCCCGGAGCACGTTCCATGCCTTTATGGCAGCTTTATGAAAGATTGCAACCTTGCATGACAAAACTCTTCAACTACCACAAAGAAACCTTGAGGGAATGATTTGGGAAAGTAAAAACTTGCTATGTCAAAACCAGCTCTACCAAGAACTGAAGTTGCTTAATAGTAATCGATAGATTCTGATTTCATAAATGACTCTCTAATAGCTAAATACTAATAATAGTTTTCTGATGTTAATTTGTCTCTAGAGCATATCTCTGACTCTAAGGTCATTTTGTTCTTTGACATGAGTGTAGCTGAGAGGCTGAGTAGAACAGATGTACACATCCACTTCTTAGAAAATCATATTGGGAACTCATCCACAAACCTGTTTCTAAGCAATTGATTAATGTACTGAGTTGAATTAATTTAGAAAATAATTAAGTCTCTAATAAGTAGTTTAGCCGCTATTGCCAAAAGATTTCTTTCTTGGCTCATAGGCAGTATCAGAATATTTTAAAAATGGAATTTAGAAACAGATTGGAGTTTGAATTGAACCAGTGTAACTTTCTAGCTATGTTACCTTTGGCAGGTTATTTATTTTCTGTTTCTTTGAATGTAATTATTAGAGTTACAATCTCAGAAGTTGTCTAGTTAGGTACTGTCTTGTTACAGATTGAGGGACAAGGTTAAGAGGAAACTTTTGCTTTGAAAATTTCCCCAAACTGGTATTTCTCATGGTAAGACAGCCTAGACCCCTCCATCTGATAGATGTGTGTTTCCCTTTCCTGAATTTCATTTGTGGCGTATTCCCTTGAGCCTCTGATTCTTACTCTCAGGTTATCTGCCCCACTTCCATATGTGCCTGTCATCGTGTTCGCATGTAAACAGGAGAAAAGTGCTGCAGTCCGTTAAGACCATGAAGCCCTTCTGTTACAATATGGAAGTGGCTGAGCAGAAGGCTTACATGTTATTCTTATTAACAATACCCATAGATACGGATTTGAATTTACAGAAAGCTTTTCCTTTGTGTAAATTTAGGTCTAAGATATAGTATGAACAAAGAGGTTAAAAAAGGATCTGATTCATGGTTTGGGTTTGGACAATTTTTGCAGGTAGTGGCACCCAAGGGACAGCTGAATTCGTGGTTGCTTTGAAATGGGCCCTGGTCAGTCCTTTGTAGTGACTTTGACTTTTGTGGGTATTTCCATTTCAACCCTACTTCAGAGACTAAAGCTTTGCTGTCTCCCTTCTGACCTTTCCTTATTTTGCTGCAGATCTTACTCTAGCACCTCCATAGAAGAGGCCATGAAAAGGGGCGAGGACCCTCCTACCCCGCCACCGCGGCCACAGAAAACCCATTCCAGAGCCTCCTCCTTGGATCTGAATAAAGTCTTCCAGCCCAGTGTGCCAGGTGAAGTGCCCCTCTGCACCCCAGTCTTTCCCTTTCTTGTTGGAGTCATTGGATGTGTGTCTGCCACAGAGGCCTTTGTGAGTCCACAGAACGAGCAGATCTGGCCATTTCCTGTCCCAGGAAGGTCTTCGAGTTGCTATGGTATTCTTGGGAGGGAAAGCAGTTCTTTTTTTTTTTTTTTTAAGATTTTATTTATTTATTTGAGAGAGAGAGTGAGAGAGAGAGAGAGCACAAGAGGGAGGAGCGGGAGAGGGAGTAGCAGACTCCCCGCCGAGCAGGGAGCCCGATGCGGGACTCGATCCCGGGACTCCAGGATCATGACCTGAGCCGAAGGCAGTCGCTTAACCAACTGAGCCACCCAGGCGCCCGGAGGGAAAGCAGTTCTAAACCGATAAGATATCCTATGTGTCTGGAGCCTTGCCCACACCCGTATGGACCAAGAATTATGAAATTCTGTACCAAGAAGATTAAAATACTTAAACCCCAGACAGCCCACTGAGTGCATGGCTGGGGTCTTGTTCTCCACATTGTGGTAATTTGTATATAAGTAATTTGTATATAATTTGTATATTGTCTTTCATTTCCTGAGATGCTTATGCAGTTCTTTTGTGAAAGACCTTGGCGATCGACACCTGGCCAGAATCTTCCTCTGCATCTTATCCTTGTGGTGAAGATGCGGTGTCTTGGAGGGTTTAATGCTAAGGGGCTTGCTTTCTAAATCTGACTGATGGTTAGGTGGTTGGTGGGGGGAACAAGGGCAAGGGCTCCTCCAGGTGGCCTGCTGAGGGCTTCTGGGACTGGGACTTCCTTGAGCCAGCTGCTGTACAGCTGGGCTGGAGGTGGGGGAAGTTGGAGGGCCCAGTCTCCTTCCCTGGCTCCCTGTGAAGTGGAAGATGTCCTCCTAGGGAACCTATAGAACAGCAGATGAGAACCATGCATGCCTTTGCTTAGCAAAGGTGTTAGGATGCAGCACCTTCCCAAGTGTTATTTTGGGAGCAGCAAGGGCCTTTCTACTGACTGATGTAGGCAAGCTATAAATATAGTGATTTCCTGGAACTTTTTCTCTATCTGTGTGCATTTTAAATCAAGCCAGCCTCAGATGCTAGTGATTTGCAGATTATTATCTTTTCTACAAAAGCAAGAAAAGACTCTCCTTGGCTCACACATTAGCATGACCTCTGTGTCCCAGCAGAGCTCAGCATGTTTTAGTTGTTCTAATAAAGTAGTCTCCTCACAGTAAAGTTACAGATTGTTTTTTAATATACTAGAGTCTGGAACTCTCTATGAAATTTGATTCTCTGCCATGAGTTCATCAGATAAAAATTTGCCTTGCATTTCCCCCCATACTTTGATCCAAATTCTGGCATAATTTCATAGTAACTAGTATTTGAGGTGGGAGTAGCCACGGATGATGATGCTATAAAAATTTCACATGGCTGGCGGATTATGACCCAGAAGATTTTTCTATGCATGCAAAAAGATTAAAACAATCTGGGCAGCTATCTTAATACGTTTTCCTTGCATGGAGAGGCTGGAAGCGTGCAAGTATCTCTCTGGCTGTGCAAGCCCGCAAGGAGTGCCAGCAGTGCCGGGGAATGGATGTGCTCTGGCTTTTACAACATTGCATCGTATGGTGGAAGAGACAAGACTGGATTTGGAGTCCAGCTCTGCTGCTTATTAACTGTTTGATTTTCAGCAAGTGGCTTAATCTTTCTGCATTTCAGATTTTTAATCTCTAAAATAGGGCCAACAGTCCACGGAGCTATAGGGTTTTGGTGAGATAATAAACATAATCCTAATAGCAACATGTTTGACCCATAGGCACTCATTTGCCCAGAAATCATTGAGGAAAGGGAGTGAGAGGATAAAGTCCCTTGCCCCCCTTGATCTCTAGTGGTTCAGGTCTGTGATCCCTTCCCTACAGTTCCTTGGTGGGCTCACAGAGAGACCGAGCCCCAGTTGCCTGCTGTATTACAAGCAAAGGACTGTGAAAAACAGAGTAAGTGAGGCTAGGTTGCTGAGTCAGAGTGGCCTATGGTGGACTGATTGTGTGGAGAAGAAATAGGATGGAGAGAAGATGCAAAGAAGCAAGAATGAAAGAGGGAAGTGCAGAAAATGATGAGATGGTTGTTACATAGGAGTGATGATGTTTATATAAAGGGAGGAGAAGGAAATAGAAGACTGTGATGACCAAGGGGAGGAGAGCACACAGAGAGCCCTTCCTACAGACTTGGTGAAGGATTTGGTGGGATTTAAGGGAAGAACTTAGAATGCCTTCATTAGAGCATTAATGCCTTCAAATTTAGGGAGATCAGTAAGATGATATGGGGAAGAATAACAAAGGGCTGATGTCGAATGTAAATCTATAAAAGTGAACAAGCCACTTTGGCAGTATGGGACAATTGGCTTTACCTTTGATATCTGTAAAAACAGTATGAATTTAAATTTACGGGAGTCTGGATAATCCCAGGGCTCTAGATAGGCAGGTACTGGTATTATACCTAAGTGTATGTTTTCACAGGGAGAAGTTGATATGACATGATTGCTGTGTGTAAAAGGGAGACCACCTTTGTTGTTGTTTTTTAAAAGATTTTATTTATTTATTTATTTGACAGAAAGAGAGAGAGCACACAAGCAGGGGGGTAGCAGGAGAGGGAGAAGCCGGCTCCCACTGAGCAGGGAGCCCGATGCGGGACTTGATCCTAGGGTCCTGGAATCATGACCTGAGCTGAAAGCAGATGCTTAACCGACTGAGCCACCCAGGTGCCCCATGGGAGATCACCTTTGTAATAGCTGATCCAGGTCAGGGAGCCATCCTGTCAAGGCCCAAACAGCTGCTGCATTTGAGAGAAGACAAAAATGTGCAAGAAAGTCTCAGTCAGTGGTGATGCAAGTGCACAAAATCTAGATGCAGTCAGACCTGGAATGTTTAGATTTTATAGCTCTACGCTTACCGCCACAAAACATATTTTATTATTATTTTGTTTTATAAAACATATTATGTTACTGAAATTTCCGTAAGAAAAATCAAACTGTGAAGGCAATACTCTTTAGATACTAACTTCCTTTTCCTCATTGAAACAGTTGTTTTCATAAAGCAGGGGTTTCTTTTGTTCCACCATGTGGGGTGGGAACTCCCCTCCTTCCACTCTCAACAGTGACTTGCCCCTTCCAGAGCCATGTCTAAAGCTTGCAGCTGGAGGTTGCCACGGTGATGGTCAACCCCTTCAGTGCTGCCTCTGCCAAAATAGCCCTGTGCCAGTCATTGAGCATCTACCTGGCAGAAGGGACAGAGGTTGTTTGGAGGAAACGTAGCCATCCCTTTAAAGCTGCAGACCAGAAATCTTCATCACTTCCACTCAGCTCTAACTGGGGAAACCTAGTCCCATGAATATAGCTAGCTGCTGGGCAGCTGGGAAATGTAGTTCCTGGCAGGGTAGCCATTTCCCATTGACATCTCTCTTACTGTAAAAGAGGAGAGTGAATGTTGGTGGGGAGCTCTTTCTACCACATCGCATGTGGCCAAATACATTCAGATCCACATGTTAAAACCATTGTGATGGCTGAACAAAACACATCCATGGGTAGCATCTACCCATGGATAGCTAATGTTTTATTTCTGCTTTAGACATACTGATAATAATTCATTCCAGGGTTAAGAAATTATGGTACATCCATATTATGGAAACTTAAGAAGCAGTTAAAAAGAATAAGGTATGTGTACTAAGTGGAAAGCCATCTGACATAAATTAAGTGAAAGAGGCAAGGTGCAGAATATGCGTGTTCTTAAATGTATAGGCAGATTTTGGAAGGATACTTAGGAAAGTGGTAATAGTGGTTGCCTCTGGGGAAGAGAATAGGATGACTGGGGACAGGAGTGAGAGAGAAACTTACTTCTTATTGAATATCCACTTGTATCTTTTTAATTTTGCCTCAAGTACAGATATTATAAAAATTTTGCTTTTCACTTTATAGCCACAGTGACCAGATAGTACCTGAGAGTACCAGAAATGTCCTTCCCTGGCCCAGTTTATCTGTCTCAGATTTACCTACCATACTATGTCCAGGGTATTTTTATGACCAGTCTGCTGCCACTTTGTAGAATGCAGCTAAAATGACAGAAGCATTTTAGAACATTCTTTAAGACTCTGATATGTCCTTCAGATTCCTCTTCAGTGCCCTTCCAATATTGAGGAATAGTTAATAGGACTTCCCGTAGTCTCCATTGTGAGATGTACAGATGGGCAAAGTGTGATAAGGGCTCTGTCTTAATTTGGAAGGGGGTTGTATTTTTTAGTTGGCCAGCTGAGAAGAGTCTGTCTGGGTTTTTCTACAAATTGATATTTCTGCAACTTGAGAAATACGTAAACCCTTTGGGAATAAGAGATACAACATCTCTTACCAAATTTAACCTTTCAGGTTCTCTAAAGGATGAATTTGCTCACACAAACGGCTTCGACCTTATAGATTTCCTTATTGTATCATTCCTGTGAGTGCTACTTGTTCCCTTTTAAAATCCAGTAGGATTATGGGATTCCTGCTCCACCCCCAAACTTTTGGGTCCACAGTACACAGCCAGCTAAGGGTTCAGTTTAGCAGTCTGGACAGTTGTTTTTTTTTTTTTAAGATTTTATTTATTTATCAGAGAGACAGAGGCAGGCAGAGGGAGAAGCAGGCTCCTTGCTGAGCA